ATTCACTGTTTGACAAAGTTTTTTCTTTTCTGTCATGTAATTGACATGAGAAAGAAACAAAAGAACTGCTCATCTGCAGAGCCTAGCCTTGGGAAAAGATCACTTTGCTTCAGGAAAAATAGGAACCATGAGACCAGAGGCACCAGTGTCCGATGGTGACACAGTGGTGAGACTGGGCTGCCTTCAGGAGCTGGCTGGAATTCCGCAACTCTGGACACAGTGCTCAAGCTCATTCCCTCTGGCTGTCAGGCATCCTAAGGTTTTGGCCCTACCAGAGGAGCGGGCGGAAGAGACAGCTCCTGGGAAATGGAAGCAGGCTCTCAGAGAGCCACTGCCGATCAGGTGCCAACTGAGACGTGTGGTCCTCACTTGTGAGTTTTCCACAGCTGAGTGAGATGAGAAGTAAACAAAACCTGCTTTTCAAACAGACCTTTGCCATCGGAAGGATCTTCTCCCACCCAGCCCTCTGGCTGCAACTGTTGATTAGGATTTACTTTCCAGGGATTCTGTTAATACAACAGGCCCACGGGTTTTTGTTGGAGACAAATGAAATCTTTGTAAAAAGACTAAAACACCTAGTCACTGTGGGACAGCTGCCTCCATGTATAATGAATCTAGAGAACAATACAAGTAGGCAGCCTATACACTGTATATCATTACCATCATCCCAGAGAAGTTCCCTTTTAGGCAGTACTGTGCTGGTAAATGGTCACCAACCAGCAATCTGAAAAAACTGTTTATGCATAAATGAGGGTACTTCAAAAGTTTGTGAAAAGATTTGCTGTATCTTTTAATTCTATTTTTCCAAGAACTTTTTGGAGTACCCTCATATGTTTGAGTGTATGTTTATTATAAATTTTGCTGATCTAAAAGATGTAGGGCTCAATTTACAAATTATAGTAAAATACACGATATACTTACTGTAAATTCCATATAGTCAATCGATTCTCAAAGAATGATTTCGCTGATTTTTATCAAGCTTTCGTATCTGTAGCCAACCAATGATCACAATTGATCAACTACTTCTGACATGAATGTTGTTTTTGTTTACATTAATGAGTAATGCAAACATGAAACAATTTCTTTGTCAAAACTTCATTTGGATAAATTGTACAATAGTTTTCAAATAATGAAAGAATATTTACTTGAGTTTTTGTGCTATTCACAGTGCAGTGGCTACAGAGACAACTTTTAAACTGTGTTAACATTTCTTCCACTTTCTTTAGTCTAGATCATTAACAAAACAATAATATAGTAAAATTAAGAAATGACCAATTTTGAGTGTTATGTTTGCTTTCAATATAATTGTAAGTTGTATAATTTTAATGATGTTTAACAACGTGAAAATTTAACAATTGGCTTGCAAGCCACCATGTAATATCCCTGTGCAGTCAATTCCATCCCATATATACAATTTTTTTTTTAAATGAGGAGAAGGTAAAAATACAGAATATTTCATGAATTCTCAGGGTAAAATTTATTATTTCTTAACATCACAAAAAAGAAAAGTTTCTACCTACAGGGGAGACCAGAAGGGGCCTGTGTGTTCCCATTTCGGGAGCAGACTACTAAAAGTGTATGTCTGGAAACAAAAATGTCAGTGACAGCAAGCAACCAGAAACAGGAGCCAGATCCCTGCCCAAGGACTTATCAACAAAGGCTCAAACCAGGCTTTTTTCCAAAAATGTTTTTAATTCCAACATCCATCTTAATGTCCTACTGTAGACTCATTTAGCCAATAGCTGTTATACTAAAAATGGAAGTTAATGACTTCAGCTCAAAACTAGGCCAGTACTATCAAAGTGTGTTGTAAGAAACTTATTATCATGGGGTGCCTTTGTTTTTCACTTACTTTTCCCAGCAGAAAGGCTTAATAAGATTCTCACATCAAAAGCAAAAGCATTTCTTCCTCTCCTGGGACCCTAAACTGTTATGAATGTGCTCTCTAGAGGCAACCACTTCCCCGAGCTCCTCTTTTGTAAGATTCATCACATGCAGGGAGCAGCAGTCCAGCTAAAGGGCACCACCTGCTATCACTCCTCATATCCGTGCCATTCAACAAATATCACCATCATCCATTTATTTCTCTTGAGTGCCTGCAGGTACCTGCCACTTCGCTCGGTGCTATATAGCTCTGCACTTTATACTCTCCAAAATCAGTGCATTCTGAAAAAAAAGCACAACTTTTAAGGCAAAGGTTAGATAATAACCATACCACACAACTGTCTAGCTGGAAAAAAAATCATGTTTTCAGGTGCCACTGTTTGAATTAACCAGGAATGCTGGGAGGTAAGGGCATGAAACCTTATTATGACATGATAAATATTTTAAATGGCAACAATTCAAGTGTAATTCAGGTTTCTTGAGCCATCCTGGTGTTCAGTTTTAATCCATTAATATAAGTACCCTGAAACCTTATGATGCTAGTTTTTATAAAATGAGATTTGAGTGTCACAGAAAGCCACCTGGACTGAGAGAAGTTACTGCGCAAGTGGTTTATTGTAAACGAATCTCAATTATTTGGCAATTAGAACAAAACTCCTGTGAACAATATTTGCAAAGTCTTTCTGGGGCACGACCTTAATTAAATGTTTTCAATTTTATAATTTTCAGAAATAATAAAAGAAATGATTAGCTTTTGTCTTCCTCTGAGGAATCCCTATCTTGCTATTAACAACTGAGAAACTGAGTAACCTGAATTTAGGGCACTAGTTTGTGTCAACTCAGAATATTCTTTTTCTAGCTTGTGACATCTCAACGAATTTCCCATTCCCACCTACTGTTGGGAAACCTGTTTCTGTGCCATTCTCAGGAGTCTGAGGAAAAAAAGATTTTTCAGGCTAGGTGAAGAGGTGAGAGGCACAAGAAGGGTCAGAGGTTCCTGGCTTAGGCACCTGCGCGCGCATGCGCCCGTGCACACACGGATATGCGTTCTTGGGGCCGCCAGCTTTAAATCTGGCTCTGCCGCTGCAGCTGCAGCTGCGCAAGGTGCTCATTGCTACATCCCCGCCTGTCACCAGCGGAGCCGCCAGAACTGCCGGTGCCACGTGGCCATCTACATTTTGAGCAGGTGCAGGTCTTACTGCGCTACTTAGGGCGCGGCAGCAGCCTGATCCGCTCACCCTGGAGGTGTAATAACATTCTGAATAAACACAGTGGTATCAGATTGATCAAACGCTCTCTTACATGCCTGAACTATAAGATTGAGCAAACGCTCTTGCATGCCTTAAATTACGGTTTTTTGAATTAAATACCCAATTTATGAGAACAGATTAGCTCAGAGAAACAAACCCAGTGACTTCATTCTGAGACCTATCCCATCACATCGGTGTATTTCCCCCAAAAAGAAACTGAAAAGAGAAAGATTTATTTTTAAGGTCGGCTGAAAACATAAATTACTTTAGGATTGTTGATATAATGTACCTTCTGACAGGCTTGGTTTGGGCAATTTGGAGCAGAAAATTCCACTTTCTCTTCACACCTACATAATCATCGTCTAAATAGTTTCAGCCATAAAAAAAAAAAATTCAGTGGAATCGTAGAGAAATATTACATTCTGCTCACGAATTTCTTGAACAAAGGTATCTTTTCCTGATAATATCTGAGGTATTATCAGGAAAAGA